TTGCCTAAAATAAGCTTTTTACGTCAAGCAGTTTAAGCAGAATCGTGGTTAAGAAATTACCCAACTTTTTGGAACACCCTGTAAGATTTTTTAAAAAATTTCAAAATATGTAAAAAAACCAAATAAATTATGCTTGTCCAAGCGTTTTCCTGAAAGACTAACCGTTTTTTACCCTCTTGGAATTTGAGATTCGAGAAACCCCTCCTTATCCAACCTCTACACCCCACAGTCAATCCGTTTGCCAAAAATCAGCTTTAAACGTCAAGCAGTTTAAGCAGAATCGTGATTACTCAATGGCCATATTTTATGAAACACCCTGTATAAATTTTTAAAAAACCTTAAAACATGTAAAACAACAAAATAAAATATACGTTTTTAAGAGTTTTTCCGAAAAACTCACCGGTTTTTAAATAAAAAATATTCTAATATTTGAGGGGTGGTTTCACCCCCTTAGAATTCGAGTTTCAAAAAATCCCTTCTTATCGAACCTCTACACCTTAAAGTCAATCCGTTTTCCAAAAATCAGCTTTTTACGTCAAACGCTTTTAACAGAATCGTGATTAATCAATGACCAGATTTTTCGAAACACCCTGTATACATTTTTAAAAAATCTTAAAATATGTAAAAAAACCAAAATAAAATAGACGTGTTCAAGCGTTTTTTCGGAAGCTTTTTCGTTTTTTAAATCAAAAATATTGTAATATTTGAGGGGTGGTTTCACCCCCTTGGAACTGGAATTTCGAAAAATCCCTAGAATCAACCTGTATGTTAAAATTGAGCTTCTTACGTTGAGTGGTTTGAGCAGGATCGTGATTAATCAGTGAGTCAGTCACTTAAGGATTTTATATATTAGTATACATATATCGATACAAAAAATATCGATACCGGAGTACATCTCTACCATTTAAATAAAATTCTCGATTTTTAAAAGTGGATTATTCTGGAAGGGTCGCTTGAATATAAGGTAAAGGTGGTGGTTCTAATATTTTTATTGTACAACGTGATTCTGTGAGGCACGAGCTACTTCCATCCACGGGTCAAGCAGATGGTTTGGCAGGTGGGGAAACATCTGTCGGGTAAACAGCTGACAGATCCTTCCTTTTCTTTCATGGTCGGCTGTTCTCTTGAAAAAAAACGTCTAAGACCTATATAATAACGTTCTAAGATTGTATAAGAAACTACTCGAGTCATTTCTTTTATTAAACTATATTTCGATGAATCAAAATAGTTATTTATATGACGTGAGTTTTCTACGATGTTCTCTATGAGTATCTCGGAAACTACTGGAGCTAGAGAGGTTAACAGGACACTTTGATCCCCTATTTAAACCCCTTAATCTAACAAATTTCCTAAAATGTCATTTAAAGAACCTTTGTACAACTTTTTATGCTTCTAAAGACAGCTGATACAAAGTTTCATAGAAACTTTTACTTTTTATAGTGGATGATTTTCCAGAAATGGCTTCTTAGTGCTCAATTACTTGCTATTAAATCAGAATTGATTTTTATATTTTCCAAAAAAAAAAAATCTTGCTAGTAAAGGACAGAGTTCTTAACCAGAATCTTCAATTTTGGCCCTTTTTTAGGAATTATTTCTTTTAATTTATGAGTAAATTTAATAGGCAGTAGCATTATTAGTAAAATATTTGCATAAATTGTGATTTTTTTAACCATAATTTTACGTTTTTCAATAATTATTAAATAGTCATCCTAGCCTGACTAACAGTAATCTACCAACTTAAATAGATTTTTTAACTAAAAAAAAATGGGAATCGACATTAATTATTGTTACACGTTTTGAAGCATGTCAAGAATTTTATAAATTTTATTACAAGCATTCAAGCAGTTAGCACCATTATCCATTGTTACTTGTACTTTGAACATGGCTATGAAACAGAGTACCACCATAAATACTTAATTATCTGGTCACAGTTCATACTGCAGTGATTACGACTATTATTTTCTATTTATCAGCTGATTTAATATGCATTTTTTCCAGAAATATTTATTTTATAATGTTAATTATGTTGATATAAGGCATTTTATAATATATTTCTTACAGTACTTTTCCAAGCCTCTGTATAAGCCCTAGGAACTTATTAAAATAAAGGAAAATTGTTCTTTTTCAATAGCATCCACGAATTCTTTCTTTTTTTTTTGAAGAATGATAATTTTAAGTAATTTAAACATTAGCTTAACTAGCAATTTATCGTGGGGTGGGACTGGGGGGGCCTTGGTTTGAGTCCATGGGGGGCCTAGGGCTTTTGTTTTTTTATAAATGAAAAATAATTTTAAAAAACGCATTTTTTGAATAAAACGTTTACATGAATTTCTCTATCAATAAATTTTATAGACTTAGTTATTAAACCGTGTCCCCATAGATTACTTAAATACCTACAAATTTTCTAAAAAATCAAAATTAACACATTTTTTGAACATGAAAACGTCATTTTTACTGCATGACAAGCAAATAAAAATTAATACGTAACCAAGAGTCAAAATTATTCAGGATTTCTCTGGGGGGTGCCCAGCAGTACCTGGGGGGACCCGGCATCCCCGGGCCGCCCTGTAGTTACGCCAATGAATTTAAATATTCCAGAATTATTGGACGGGGATGATGAACACACAAAAATTTTTCCATTTCTTCATTTTCAACATGTCAACAATACTCCCCCTATATACAGGGTGGTCCGAACTGTATTTAGGAAACTTCGGCAGCATATTCTGCAGTAAAAATGTTCGTATAAATGCATGTCCTAAAATGCTTAGTTTTGGAGATACAGGGTGAATAAGTTTCATTTATATTTCGATTTACGGGTACGGAACAAAAGTTATTACTCATCAAACCAGTTAAAAAAAATTCGGGTGTCATATTGACATGAAAATCAAATTTCTTATGTCAAAAAACTCCCAGACACCAATGTTCATCCCAATATTGACGTTACTTCAGAAATTATTGGGAAAAAATCTCTGGAAATAAAAATGAAATTTCTACACCCTGTATCTCAAAAACGAAGCATTTTAGGACATATACATTTATACAAACTTTTTTACTTATTTTGCAGAATATGCTGCCGAAGTTTCCGGAATACAATTCGGACCACCCTGTATATTTGGTTTTTTAAAGATTGTATTATGCTTACAGTATACTTTTTGCAACTTTTCATGTATATAGAGAATAAAGTTTAGGATATTTTTGACAGTTCTGTAATACTCTCGAGAGTGAGACTGATTGCGTCTGCAACAAGTGAGAAAGAGGTATACTTCGAGGCTTATTTGGTGCAGATGTGTGTCTGAAAACCGGCCTATGCCGTTGTATATATTCAAATATTACTTGGGGCCCTCACAGAGAGTGGAACGGGACCACACAAGAGCGCCGACTTGAGACTGCAGGCTATAAGATTGTGTATTTACACCGCCAAGAACAAAAAAGTATATTGAAAAGAAAAACAGGCACTTAAAAATATAAATGCATGGTCTTTTTATATTATACTAGCGTGTACCCGCGACTTCGTTCACGTCGAATTAATCATTTGTAATGGTGCTGATAAAGCAAAGCAACAATTCCCATTAACATACAAACTGGATAAAATTTTCTCACATTTATGTCAGCATGAGACAAAAAAATGTGGCGATATTATTATATAACTTGGTAATATTTGAGGGGTAGTTTCATCTCGTTGAAATTTGACTTTCGAAAAATCCGTTGACCAAAAATAAGCTTTTTACGTCAAGCAGTTTAAGCAGAATCGTGATTAATCAATTACCCAACTTTCTGGACACCCTGTATGATTTTTTAAAAAATTTCAAAATATGTAAAAAAACAAAATAAATTATGCGTGTCCAAGCGTTTTCCCGAAAGACTAACCGTTTTTTAAATAAAAAATATTGTAATATTTGAGGGGCGTTTTCACCCTCTTGAAATTTGAGATTCGAGAAGTCACTCCTTATCGAATCTCTACACCCCACAGTCGATCCGTTTGCCAGAACCCAGATTTTTTTGAAACACCAATAATATATGTCTCCATTGTATTTTAAACTATCAAAGTAGGTTTTAAAGGACTGGGAAGGTTAGGAATCGAAATAAAACAACACCCTTTTGGAAAACAACACGTAAAAACTGTATTTTTGGTCATTTAGCTTCTAAACCTAGGAAAGAAAAGTACGAACGGTTGCCTTAATCGCCGACCTACAAACAGGACAGTCCTCCAAGTTGGGAGCGCACGTCACACAAGTAGCCAGATGCCCACAAGGCAGAAACACTATGCCCACCTCAGCGTCCATGCATATTTTACACTGTCTAGCCTCCCTTAACCTTCTGTTCTCCTCCACGCTCAGAGGAGACGAACTATTGTCTGGATCGCTTGGTGGGAGTGTTTGAGCGCTTGAAGCTTTGACTACTTGGTTGATAGCTTCAGTTACAGTATCCCTGATACGACTGTAATAAAAAATAACCTCTATATATGATTCTATCTTATTTTAATCTTTCTTTGAACCATCAAAATAGATTTTAAAGGACTGGGAAGGTTAGGAATTGATATAAAACAACACCCTTTTGGAAAACAACACGTAAAAACTGTATTTTTGGTCATTTAGCTTCCAAACCTAGGAAAGAAAAGTACGAACGGTTGCCTTAATGGCCGACCTACAAACAGGACAGTCCTCCAAGTTGGGAGCGCACGTCACACAAGTAGCCAGATGCCCACAAGGCAGAAACATGATGCCCACCTCAGCGTCCATGAATATTTTACACTCTCTAGCCTCCCTTAATCTCCTATTCTCCTCCTCAAGGCTCAGAGGAGACGAACTATTGTCTGGATCGCTTGGTGGGAGTGTTTGAGCGCTTGCGGCTCACTACTTGGATGATAGCTTTAGTTACAGCATCTCTTGTACGAGTGTAGTTAAGAAGTTAATGATACAATCGTATTTTAATATTTCTTCGAACCATCAAAATAGGTTTTAAAGGACTGGGAAGATTAGGAATTAAAATAAAACAACACCTTTTTGGAAAACAACACGTAAAAACTGTATTTTTGGTCATTTAGCTTCTAAACCTAGGAAAGAAAAGTACGAACGGTTGCCTTAATCGCCGACCTACAAACAGGACAGTCCTCCAAGTTGGGAGCGCACGTCACGCAAGTAGCCAGATGCCCACAAGGCAGAAACACGATGCCCACCTCAGCGTCCATGCATATTTTACACTGTCTAGCCTCCCTTAACCTTCTGTTCTCCTCCTCCAGGCTCAGAGGAGAGGAACTATTGTCTGGATCACTTGGTGGGAGCGTTTGAGCGCTTGCTGCTCTGACTACTTGATTGATAGCTGCAGTTACAGCGTCTCTGGTTCGAATGTTCTCGAAACCGTCGTCTTCCTCCAGTTGGAGGTTTAAAGCTGCTTCTACCAAAGCGTCTGGTTGAGAATAGCCGTGTCCAGTGAGTTGGAGCTTTTCTTTGAGGGCTCGTTTCACCCTCTGGACGTCTATGCCTATCGTGAGAGCTGCTATTGCCGCTGGATTGACCAGGTGTTCTTGAAGTTCCCTCTCCGTCACTTCACGACGTTTTCTAGATGATTGGATTTTTTCTTTTGGCTGAAACAAGGAGAAAATACGATAAAGATAGGTGTAAGTTATTAAAAATATTTTTTCCATAGCAACTGTTAAAATTGCCTTAAATGGAAGTAGTTTGAATATGGCGTTTGTCGCCTCAGCCTGAATATCTGTTGGTAATTTACTTATTTCGTTTTGAGCCATTTCTGGCTCCAATTCAATCAGCAATCGACACGAAAGAAAATTAAAAAATATTGACTCAAAACTGACAACAAAAGAGACAGCTTTATTTATTTGTCAAATTACATAGAAACCAACGCCAACCCAGCACAATATTTTTCTACTCGTAATAAATTCCTTGAAATAATAATTTCTGAATATTTTTTAAAACCTAATTCGCTATATGAATTAAATTAAAATAAATAATAATAATTGAAATTAATTCATTAATCTTTTCGGTCGATAGACACAAAGATACTTTACCTAAAACAATATTAACATTCCTTTTCCTAATTCTGTAAACGATTGGGTTATTGAACTTTAATCTATTATTCATTCACACCCTGTACAGGGTGGGTCAAATTCGACGCTTTTAAATGGAAACACCCTTTTCTATAGGAGATAGACGAAAACTAATATCGGTGTCTGAAGCCCAATTTTCATCAAAAACATGATGGTGAAAACCGCACATCAATATCTTTTACCGTTTCGGAGTTACGGGGTGTTTTTCAAAAATGTGCATTTTTAACAAATCGCTGTAACTTTTTTGCTATGGAAAATTTTGTATTTTTGTGAAAACATTTCCAAAGCACCTTTTTACGTAGAATTTAATGGTTTAAGTATAATTTTTTTAAAATTAATAATTTAAGAGTTATCAACAGAAAAATTTATTTTTTATATGGGACACCCTCTATATTTTTAATTAACTGCAAAGAATTTAAAATTACCTTTCCAAAAATAGAGCGCACTTGATATTTTGTTATAATCCCCTTCGAAATACAGAATTTTTAAAAGTTCGCCACTTTTAACTAGTAGGCTTTGGACCCCTTATTGATGATATGCCCTTAATGGAACTCGAAAACATATTTTTCCAGCAAGACGACTCTGAAAGCTGAAGTTATCAGCAAATTTTTGCAGCCAATTTTAAGAATAATTGAATAACTAACCAAGATCCCAAACTTTGGCCGTCGAGGCCGCCTGACTTAGTGCCTATGGATCTAATCCTATGGATATATTTGCGGAAGAATAAAGGTTCCTTATTCCATATAATCTAGACAAGAATTAGAAATACTTAGCAGTTATGAGAGGATATCTTTCACCCCCACTGAGTTAATGAATTCCGCGAGAAATATTCAAAAACTGCCCCGTCTGTCCATAACAGAAGACGGTCGATATGTCGAACACCTGTAGCAAAATCTCATGTCTTGGTTTGCTATTTATTTTTATTGTTATTAGATATAGCTTAAATGTGTTGATGTTGGTTAAATATATTTTAAATTGTTATAAAATTCTGCATCTCTCATAACAAATATTATTTTCGTTTTAATTGATGCTCACAGCTTGAATTTTTGCATTATAGCCAGTGCCGTTCAAAGTCTACTCATTTAAAGCGGGCAAATTTTTATATACTCTATATCTCGAAGAGGAATCGAGCAAAATATCAAGTGTGTTATATTTTTGGAAAGGTAATTTTAAATTCTTTTCAATAAACTAAAAATATACAGGGTGTCTCGTATAAAAAATCAAATTTTCTGTTAATAATTCTTAAATTATTAATTTTAAAAAAATTATACTTAAACCATTAAATTCTACGTAAAAAGGTACTTTGGAAATGTTTTCACAGAAATACAAAATTTTCCATAACAAAAAAGTTACAGCGATTTATTAAAAATGCATATTTTTGAAAAACACCCCGTAACTCCGAAACGGTAACAGATATCGATATGCGGTTTTCACCATCATGTTTTTGACAAAAATTGAGCTCCAGACACCGATATTAGTTTCTGTCTATCTCCTATAGAAAAGGGTGTTTCCATTTAAAAGCGTCGAATTTGACCCACCCTGTACAAAAGAGTATATTGAAGTCGAATCACTCTGTAAAAGGCTATTAAATCCAGAAGTACTCAGGCTCCATTCTGAGAACTTAGTTTCAATCAACTAATAATGAACAATCGTCAATAAAAAGGTCTAGTTTTTACGGTCAATCATGGTGGACTATTTTAGACCCACTTTAATGGCGGATACGTGCCTCTAAATCGAATACCCACATATCCACAGCGATTTCTGGGTGTAGAATGGCCGAATGCACGCGATAACCATGCGTTGTTATGAGTATTGCCATAGGTATGTGGGGAAATCTTGCTTATATAACTTATTACCCCATATAACCACACGCATGAATCAGAGACCACAGTTTCACGTTGTGGCTTAAAAGGCAGTATATGTCGACCTGCCACACATAATACAATAAAATTCTTTGTTCTAGATCGTAAAATTGTTCTGCGGTACTGTATATATACTGTGTTTCAGTTAGAGATGAGCAAAACTGCGATTTTCCAATCGCAGTTTAAACTGCGATTGTGATTTATAAATCGCTGCGACTGTAACCTGCGATTGCGATTTTGATATTTTTAAATTGGTACGCTGTAATCTGGGAAGCTCAATCCCAAAATTTCTAATAAAAAACAGAATAAATAGCGGAATAATTTTTTTTTAATAAAAACTTACAAAGAAACTGTTGGGTGTTTCGATGCCATGTGCCTTTTAAAATTTGTAGTGCGTGTTTTTTATATTTTTGCTGCACACATATTGCACTTAAAATTTTCATCAATTACCTACCAAAAAAAAATCCACAAATAACTTAGTTTCCTTTTTTTAAACATTTTTGATTAGAACAGACCGAATAAATTTAAAAGGGAAATTAAAAATACATAATGTTCGAAATATTCGAATGTGCTTTTAGACAGTAGGTATACTAACGAAAAATTTATTATAAAAAAGGTTGCCGCCAACCTTAATTCAGATAACTAGAAAAAAACTGTTTATTTTATCTTGTTTTCTTTTAAAAACATTTTCTTTATATGTAACTCAAAAGAAGCCGACGCCGACGGCTTTGATACGGCCCGTCCAGTGCAAGTGCAAACTTTCGAACTTTTAGATAAATAAAGGACAATATCACATTTTATATTTAAAATTTCTCTAAAATGAAAAAACTGATTGTAAAGGATGTATTTAAATTAACATAGCAGCGGATCCACAACTGTTAGTATATTCAGAAAATTATATTATATTATGGACTGTTATAAAAATGTTTATAATAATATAATATATAACAAAATATAATAAATAAAAAGGGATGTTTCTTTTCCGTGCTCTATATCTTCTAGTAAATAAAGGATAAAAATAGATAATTTTTTATAATTTGAATCCAAAACTGTCCTTATCAATCATTTTACCTGAATCATTACCGGGGAGCAACTGTAACTATAATTAGTCATAACCGAAAACAAGAATTTTTTAACCTTCTCAATCCATAATTATATTATAAATCTAAAACTATTATCAAAATTTAAAACTAATAAATTATATATATTATGCGGTATATAAACATATATAAGCCTATTTTCCAACGCTTCATAAAAATTACGGGGCCCTGATTGAGAATGTGATTTTGCGATCTAGTCTAGGCCGATGTGTTGGGAGCTGCGAACGAAAATCGCAATCGCCGCACTTCGTTGGCGTGCCCACTCCCGATGCCGCGCCGGTGCCAACGAAAATCGCAATCGCAATGCTGGGATGAGCTGCGATTTTCGTTCAGCTCCTCGTTCGCCTGTCCACTGCCATGTTGAAGACGCGCCGCCGCCGGCCGGGGCGTACGAGAATCGCAATATTGCGATTTTCGTTCGCAGCTCATCGTTCGGCTTCTCAGTGCCGTGTCGATGCAACACCGGTGCGAACGAAAATCGCAATGCTGTGATTTTCGTTCGCAGCTCTTCGTTCGCGTGCCCACTGCGATTGCAAATCGCAACTGGTGTAATATTGGTTGCCTAAAAATCCAAAATCGGCAGATGTATGTTTCAATCGCAAGTCGCAGTTTGCTATGGAAAGGAATCACAGGTTGCGATTGCGAATTTACAATCGCTGCAATTAAATCGCAGTTTGCGATTTTCTGCTCATCTCTAGTTTCAGTACCCCTTCTTGAGAAATTTTTAAAAAAGTTTAAATAATTCAAGTTAGGCTGTATTCCGTTGCAAAACCAGGCGATAAACAGATATTCAGGCTGAGACGAAAAACGCCATATCCAAACTACTTCCATTTAAATCTCGAATAACTTATGAAAAGGAATACAAAAGTTTTCAAAAAATGGAAGCATGGACGTTTTTAACCTGTCCTAGCTGTTAAAGTATCATTTAATCAACCCTTACGGTTAAAGTACTATTTTATCTACAATTTTTGATAGATATACATTACTGGCAAAGGAATATTAGCAATAGGAGGTTTTCAATGCGATAAAAAAAGATGGTAAGGCTGCAAAATACACTGCAGTGCAACAGAGACGGATAAAGTGTCTTTTCCCTACCATCGTATAGGGGAAGTGATCATAGAAGTGATACGACGAGAGAGCCCCTGCGAGAGGGGGCGCCGGGCGGGTCTTTAAGACGCTTGTGTGGGGGCTACCGCCTACTAATAGAACAGAATCGAAAAAATAGAAACAGGACGGACAGTGTTGCCATTCAATTAAATCGAAATTATGTTGGCTTGTCAAAATCCTAAATCTTCTAATCCCATTATCTTGCCTACTTAATGAAATATTAAATAAAGTACGAAACAATTTTACGAATGTTTTCTCTAGGCACATAACTTCTTTCTAAAACGAAAAGTAACATGCAAAACTTTGATATCATTTCTAAAATAGCAAGTGCAATTCTATGAAATGGCAATACTGTACGATCTTCCTAGCAGTCGCCCCGACACAGTCGGTCGGCGGCGGCGCTTCACAAAGCCGCGGCTGTGACAAAGGAATTAGGCCGAAAAAAACTTTA